TTCAGAAAACACTGTTATGAAAATAGGAAGGCAAACGTCAGTCTGGAAGGAAATATTTGCAAAACATGTGTGACAAAGGACTTGTATCTAGAACTTTACAACCACATGAAAAGACAAACGAATCAATTACAAATGGGCAAAAGATTTGAACAGACACTTCACCGAAGAAGATATATGAGTGGCTCAGAAGGACATGGAAAGATGCTCAACATCATTAGTCATGAGGGAAATGCAAACAGAACCACCATATGATATACCATTTCATACCGCCCAGGATGGCTAGAATCAACAGGATGGACAATGTCAGGGGGCAGGCGGAGAAGCTGGAGCCCCCGGGCACCGCGGTTAGGGAGCTAAGACTTTGGCTGGCGCTGCCAGAGGGTTCCCATAGGGCCCAGCACTTCCACTCCTCGCTATATGCCCGGGGGATAAACGAACACATGTCTACACAAACACCTGTGCACGGAGGCTCATGGCAGCTTTATTTGTCATGGCTGCAAACCGGCAACAACCCAAAGGTCCACCGCCAAGTGTCCGACAGGGATCGTGGTCCCTCCACACGACGGAAGAGTGCTCGGCGATACCAGGTTACCCACGGCGACGTGGCCGTGCCTCAGTCGTTCTGCTGACTGACGCGGAGGGACGGGAAGCAGAGCGGTGCTTGCGGCAGTGGGGAGCGGGCAGGGGCAGGAAGGGGGGCGCTGGGTGCTTATGGCCACCGTCTTCATCGGGCCGACGGGTTCTCGTGTGCCACTTCCACCTCCATGTGAGAAAGATGAGGAGGCCGTGCCCCCCGAGCCCGGTGTGCCCGGCGCTTGCGGGGTCACGGACACGCCGGGAGTCACGCCTGTGGACATCAGAACCATCGGGCCGGCTACAGTGTGTGGACTCGGTGGTCATCCGCGTGCGGAGTCGCACGCTCTAGCGGTTACCATTTACGTGACCTTCCCCTCCTCAGTCTTAGAGTAATTCTTTCAGGTGAACAAAAAGTTGCTCCTCCTCAGGAACCAGAGAACCTCTTCATGTGGCATCCCGGGCTTCCCGGCACTCTGCTCCCGATGACCATGTGGCCACAACCGGCCTACAGAAAATCCTCTGCTCTTGCAGGGCCCCTGCCCACGGGGCTCCCCCTCCTTCCGTCTGCCCTGCCTGACATCCCTGGAGCGCTACTTCCCTGATACTCCTGCTCTGGCCTCAGGACACCACTTGTCACCTCGGCTACCTAACCAGACAGACACTTAGCATCCCCAGCTGGGGGCCTGCTGCATCCCTCCGGCTGAGGAAAGGAGTGAAGGTCCTGACGGTTCACGGGGTGTCGGCTGTGGCAGAGGCCCGAGCGCCAACCACCGCCAACCCCGGCAGGGAGAGCAAACCATTCCGGAAACACTGAGAAGCTAAGGCTGTGGGACCACGACGGCGACGGGATCCTGAGCACCCCCTTCCCGAGCCTGCTTTTCCCTCCCTTGGGGGCAAATCTCAGGCCCCCGAACACAGCGTTCACCCATTTCTTTGTTTAGAGCAGAGCGAGTCTTGCAGACAATCTGAGCAGGGCTCTAGACACGGTCCATGCTGGTCTCGTGGAGCCCCAGAAGTGGATGCTGCCGTCAGCCGGGTGACACTGCAAGGACCCCCACTGCACTCACGGGTGGCCGCGCATGGGCCGGGCAGCTGGGGCAACCAGAACCGAGAGCGGCCAGGATCCGGCGGCTCAATGACTGTCACAGATGGGGACAGAGGAAAGGGCCAAGGGCCGCAGACATGGCTGGGGGAGGAGGGAGATCGAGAGGTTGCAAGACCAGGGGAGAGGGCTTCCAGGCCTACAGGATCGGGGGGTGTCCCGCCGGAGACCCTCCGCGGAGGGAGGCCGAGAAGCAGACGGAAGGGTGAAGGTGGAGCGGCCTCTGTACAGAGCCACATGGGGCCGCATGAGGCACACACACCTGAGTGAGTGCGGGTGCTGCCACGTGGCCTGAAGACACAGCAGCGCCGCTCTGCCCTTCCCGGTCTCCGAGTCACGGTGTCCCACCGGCCTCGGATGGCTGCCCTTGATTCCCAGCTGTGCCGCCCTCCAGGGTTTCGGCCTTACCTTCACCCAAACATAGTCTCTCGGCCCACCCCCGCAATTCCACACTTAGAGCCTTTCCTGGTACTTTAACCCAATTGCTACCTGGTTACTTTAAGCCATGAGAGGGCTCCTTTCAAGGCCAGCACTCTGAGACCCTCTTTATCTGTCTGCCCCCAAAATAAATGAATTCAGTCAGGACAACTTACCAGTTACATGGGGGGGGGGGTACTGCCACAGCATTTAAACCGCTCTTGAAAAGCGTCCAAGGTGTCAGAGGGCAAGTGGTCCAAAGGCTCAGACACACTACGTGCGGACACAGCGTCTCGTGGGGACACTTCTGAAGCAGATGACCAGTCCCGAAGTGCAAAGGGGCTGGTGTCCAGGGAAGTTCTTGGGGAAAGCAAGTGTGGGCCATCACTGCTGTCCCCACACAGAGCACTTTAGATGGAAAAACACAGGGACCCCCCCCCGCACACTCTTTTATTCCACGCAATACCCGTCCAGCTCATGTTGCACACCTGATCACCATACATGAGAGAAAATGATACTCATAATTGCACTGCAGTGAAAATCTCATGAAGACAAGCAAAATTATACAGAGAACTGACAAGAAGATGCATTGCTATTTTAAATGTCATTTATCTGGGTAAGCATTTGGGGACCCTGCAGCCTTTCAGGGCGCTCGAAAACCAGAGCACAAGTGTCTGGCATCTGTCCCGGCAAATCCACGGTCTGCTGAAAACACCTGTACATTACCCCCCTGTAGCCAGTCATCTTTGGGTATGGGTCCCATGAAAAAAGGAGCTCACATTAAAAGTCAAGTTGGCTTGTCCAGCAGAACCAATGGGATGACGTTACACTGGCCTGCAGGAGTGAGGCTGTTCACTTACGAGAGTGATGGAAATGGACATCAGAGCCCATGGATCTGGTCTCTTTCTGGTTCCCCTCACGTGGTGGTTGGCGTCCCAATCCTGGTCAGGCCACGGTTGAACCAAACGAGACTGGAGTCCAAGTGCATGGCCTCCTGCCGCTGTTCCTTGCTCTGCATGGGGATTGGTTTCCCTGGCAAAGATCGTCTGCGCCTCAAAAAAACAAACAAACAAAAAAACCACATACTTCCCAACGACCTGCCCATGGACTTCAAAGACACTGTTCCTAATACTTCTTTTTCCATCGGAAAACCCCAAGTTGCAGATCCGTTTGACCCCCTCAGACAGGACTGGAGCTAATGTGCTAAGGGGGCCATATTCATTTCATATGTTTATGAAGTGCCAACAAAGAGGAACGTGACACAAAGAGCAGAAGACAATCGAAGGACAAGGGCATACAGACCCAGTGAAAGGGGCTCTGAGATAAAAGCAAGTTATAAGAACTCTAGAACTCTGCATAAATCGTATAAAACTCATTTTAATATAGCTAGATGAAACCTCTCTCTGTCTTTGTTTCTATCTGTATTTCTCACTTTTGGAGTCGTCCTCGTGATTAGAGGTCCAAGAAGCGTGCTCGGAAGGAATTCTGTATTTCCAGGTCTTCCCTCACTCTCCAGATGTGGTGTCGAGCCTCTCCCGCGTGGCGGGGACGAGCCTCTCCCGCGTGGCGGGGACGAGCCTCTCCCGCGTGGCGGGGACGAGCCGACGGCGCACATGTTTCTGGGAGGCCCAGTGGGGGGCCTCCAGCACACCTATCCCTTGCCTGCCGGAGGTCTGGCAGTGAAGAGGGCTGGAAGGAGGTGGCAAGCCAATCAGGGCGCTGGGCTGAGAGCACCCATGGGCAGAATTCCTGGGCCCAGTGCAGATGGAACAGGGCAGAGCCCGCCAGCCACGGTGCCCCGCCCCCCCCCAGCCTTGCAGTAAAGTGCCATTCGAAGGGTCCACCCTGTCTCCGTGGGGCTAAGGGGGAGGAGGGAGAAGAGGGGCCAGGCTTGCCACCACACTCATCAGGGCTCCCCATTCCTCCTGCCTGAGGTCTTCTCACAGGGTGGGGGATTCTTATTTAAGGAACGATTCACCCACACTCTCGCGTGGCAAAACCCCCTATCCTTAGCTTACATTACTCCTGAATGCAAAATTATTCAAAGCAGCTGAACCTTCAATATTATAAGAAATGTCATATGAAAGGCAGATCCCATGAGCGAGCCATTGCCGGGCACGGTGTGTGCAAATTCCTAACGCATCCTGTTTCCTTCCCGACGGGCACCGGCCACAGAGGTGACTGCTTGAGGGGGCGCAGTTACGTGCAAAGCTTTAGGCACTGAGGGTGGGGAGGAGGGGCGGAGGGGCCAGGGTGGTCTTTTGCTGGTGGGGTCGGGGGAGGGGGGCAGAAGGCAGTGAGGCGGGTAAGCCCAGGGGAGGGGGGGGCAGGGAAGACATGTGTTGCCTGGAGCCCCCTTCCTGTGAGAGACCGGAGTGTCCCCCATACCCCGCCCCGCCCCGGGGCTCTGAGAAGATGGGACCTGCGTGCCCCTGCTCCTCTGAGAAGCAGCTGGGGGTCCCCACGGAAGGCCGTGGCTTTTCCGGCACAAGGACAAACGGCCTGGAAAAAGAACGGGCCCCTGCCCAGCGGGATCGCAGGGTGTCCCGTTTCTTCCCACGGACAGCACTCCCTGCGGCTCGACAGCCGGGCACGAGCAGCCCGCCGAGGTATTTGCCCAAGTCCATTTCCAGACCATTTCTGAACGGATGAACGTGAGGTGCTGTCACAGTCCAGCCACAGTCTGCTTGTAGCCTTCTCTCAAGTCCCCTCCGTTTACAGGCGCTTAAAGGAGTAAAGTGCTTTTAGTGCTTCCACCCGGGGAACGCTAAGACGTCTGGGGGTGAAGCGCGCAGCCCCGCAAGAGGAGACAGACTGCTCCCCAGGAACTCAAGGCCCCCGAGCCGGGCGACGGGAGCGGGGGCCGCCGTTGTTTCCGAGCCGGCCCCGTCCCACACAAGCCCGGTCAGACGGCGCGGGGGGCCGCCGCACCCTCCGAGGCTCCCCCGAGGGTCTCGCCCTCCGGGTGCGGCTCGGCAGGCGGCCTTCCGAGGGCCAAAGAGGCCGGCGCCTTTTCGCGGTCACTCTTCTCCGAGGGCCTCGCGCCGCCACGGGGCTTCCGGGGATGGCCCAGCCCCCGCTTCCCCTGGAAGGCTCCGCGGCCCTCGGCGCACGGGCCGCTCGCGCAGGGCTTCCGGGGGCCGCGGCCGCACGG